AATAATAAAGCAAGCAATTATAGAAGAAAATTAGAGAGAGATTGAGAGAGATTGATAAATTTGTGAGTAAAAATGAAAGAATGGGGGGGTATTTATAGTTGAGAATTGGAAAAAAGTGTAATTATAAAAAGTTTGGGGTTTAAGCAAAGTTTGGGGGCCAAATGGCTATTTTAAAGTGGCCAACGGATAAATTTTGAAGGCCAACGGCTAGATTTTAAAAATCTGACCGTTGGTCTTTTTTAAAAAAAAAAAAATTAGCCGTTGGAGCCCGTTAGGCCCGGTTGAACTGGCCCAGGCCCGCCTGCCGGTCCCGGACTTAACGGTCCCGTGCTCACGGGCTAAATGTCTTGAACCGGCCCACCACAGACTTTTACACCACTAGAGCCCAGGCCCGATTGAACTGGCCCGTTAGGCCCGCGGTTCTGGGTCGGTCCCGGGCCACAATACAGCCTTACTTCTTGCTTCTTGTACAATTACCTGTAGCATGTGTTCGTCCTATTTAACTCCCGTTTATAAATATTAGAAATATATATATATTTACCTTGAAAATGGTAATTACAATTAGATTTGATTTTGTGGTTCTAAAAATATGTGATCTATTTTTATGCTAGTTGTTAGGCAATTGATGTTAAGTGAAAGACTTGAAAACAAGATAATAGCTTGAAAACAATGTGATAACCAAACTGAATGGCTAATAATCGAGGCCTCGAGCTTGCGTATTCGGGGCCTCGAGGTCGAGTCGGATGCCCTGCCGAGAGTAGTCGATGTAGGACTAACAGTTATGATAAATTCAATGACGGCTCTTTATGACCAATAATAAGCAATAAATGAAGAACAATAAATAGAACACAATAAATATAAGCACTAAATGGAAGTAATGAGATCAAGAGAATATGAGGGGGAAAGTTCCAACACAACACACATGTATTTATTACATAAAGTAGCTGGTACAACCACTCAATCAGCCTGGTGTAGGCTGTCATTGTTTGCGCAGGCGTTGTCAGAAAATACAGCTCCTAGGGAACATCCCACTTATTCGCGATAAGCACCGGTCTGTTCTACCCCGATATCAGGCGCGAAGACCTCTCGAAGGCATCGAACCCCGGGCTATCCTCTAGAACCTTCGAGGTGAGATTGTGCAATGCCTTGCCGACCGTAAAATTGGTCTTCCCGATTTTAGCCGTATACAGATAGTCCCCGCGTTTCTCAGAGTAAACGAAGAGAAACGTCCTCGAGATCTTGCCCCTTGGGCGCTTCCATCGAAACGAATAGTTGTGCCCTGCCAAGTGACTGATGTAATAGACAGGGCTTCCAAAGGTCGCGTCCACACAATCCTCAAAATCTTCGAATTAATTATAGTGGTTGGCTGCCTTTTGGTCTGCTTCAATCACACATGCTAGGCTTCCATAAATACTCATTTCTTCACCCCTTCCTCTCTACTACATCATCAGGCTCCCAACAGAGTTCTCTTACCTCTCTCCAGTGTCCTTTCCTGAAACGCAATTTTTCGTTTCCT